AAGAACTTCCTGATTCGGGTCCTTAATTAGGTGCCATGACAACATCAGGACGGTCATGCAGATGAGCCGGTTTCATAATGAGAGTTGATTGTCAGCACCCCATGCTTTTCAGAGACGATTTCCCCACATGTAAATTCAACTGATATATTAAAACAAAACAATGTAACTTAAATCCTCTGTGCTGAATTCCTCTAAGTTAAATGAAAACACAAATGCCATACTTTGTATTGACCATGATTTCAAAGGCGGTCACCGCATCCCGCGTGTTTAGATCCGATTCTGCGGCCGTCTGGAGTGCTCTCCCTTCTGATATTAGGAGGCCATTGGAGCGATGCACTTTTAAATCGTCTAGAATCTCTAGATTGACAAACTCATTTCTTCAGAACTGCTTTGTGTTCGGTTTGTTGTTCTTCCCCCGCACCTCCGATTAGCACGGTTGGCTACAAGCCTTGCTAGTCAATTTAACACGTAGTAGGCTTCTGCGACCAATATCGTCCATAATATAGGTTGTTTTGGTTGTCGTTAAATCCGCCACCACCGACACCGCCAAAAAATAAAGTTTGTCACGAAAAAACAGAGCATGCCAATTCGTTATTGGTACTGCACAGTGTACTCGTAACGGTGTGTTGGAGAGCAAATCCAAAACATTTACAACCATGAGTGGGAGCGGATTTTTTTTCGGGGATGCTACCCGTGGTGCGATGGTTCACACGCCGGAAATGGAAACCAGGGGTCTCCAGTTCTAGTTTTAGAAATGGATAAATCACTTCTCTCACTCCACCACCTCTGTCCACCCAGCGGTACAACATACAGCGGTACACAATGAGTACACCGGTTAGTCGATCAGCAGTTTCGGTATGGTGGCCAAAGGTGCGGGTAACGCCCACCTCTTCAAAGACGTCCGACTAAAATGGTGCCCCGATGGCAAGATGTTAACTACCTCGCCTGGTATGCAGGAGGTCGTCGTGGGTTCGAATCCCGACCCTGACGCCTTCTGTATATTTGGAGTGTGAATGTTCTCCCCGTGGACACGCGGATTTTTCTCTGGGTCCTCCGGTTTCCCCCCCCCCCCCAAGTTTAGAATCACTGTGCGTGTATATGACTGCTATACATTTGCACGTGATGACAAGCGACTTCGTTGAGCTATCATTTGTGGCCAGATCACCTCTGAAAAACGAGCTATATAATAGCTCCGTGAGCCTTATCTGGTCAAATACGAAACAGATTATATATATTTTAAATATCATCGAGTCTAGGGGCTCTCTCTCTCTCTCGAGGTCCTTCCGCCAACAATGGGGAGAAAAAAGTAATTGCAAGGCTGCACCAAGGTCAGCCGATTTATGGAGTTGCTGCGGTTTGTTGGCGCGTGGACTCTGCCCGGGTCCACGAAGCGCAGCGTGAACAGGAGTGCATCGAACCTTAAAGCTCGCGCTGTTACGTGTGCAACAGGCGTGTGCTCACCAACGCAAATGAGCAAGGTCTCCATCACATATGCGTCTCTCCACATATTGTCTGAGAGTATTTTTTCCCACACAACGCGTCAGCCGGCATGGCCTTTTGCTGGGAAGTGCACGCTTTCAGCAGCATGTACAACTTTGGAATGTTTCAACATATACCAATAGACAATGATTAACTACAAATCGAGGACAGTAGAAGCCTTGTGTAACACGTCGGCTTTCGCGACCAATATCATCCATAATACAGGTTTTTTTTGGGTTAGCGTGCGTAAATATAATAGTAGCCTTTTTAGCGGCCCACCTGTTAAATATTTTAGTGCTACTTAAACACACCTAATACCATTATCCGAGCAAAATAGGCATCGTGAATTTGAATCCAGATATGATCAGCAGAGCAGAATGCCAAAAAAAGGCCAATTTAAGGGCCATACATAGATCAGCTGAGTTTTCAGAGTGGACCAACTAAACATTTTAAGGACTCTGTTAACACCTGAATGTGACTTCCATGGCCAGAGACCACGCGGGGAAACAACACGGACGCACAATGAGGACAGCACGTGGATCGTAACATTACAAAACAAACGGTTTACACCTTTGTCGCTACCAACCCACCAACCTACACGTGGCCTCGCCCACCTTCGTCACCACCACCACCACCACCTTCGGGCATGAGAGACACGTTTCCCCATTATGTACGATCCCTAAACAACTGGGAACAATTCATCAAGCTCGATGGAAAGAAGGGGCTTATAACCCTGAATTGTGCTTCGTCTACAAAAGACGAAAACGAACGGCCACTGCTACATCTACGCCTCTATATAAGGAACGAAATAGGTGGACTGCTCCACAAATCTGGCTGTCGCCTGAAGCTAGTTGTAATTACTGGCGAAACGTCGTACTCAGATTGTAAATGTTGTGGCTTGGCTCTCCAACACACCGGTTAGTGCTGTACTAGTGACGAATTGGCATGCTCTGTTCTTACGTGACAACCCTTACGAGTTGGCCATGTCGGGTGGTGGAGGGTTTAATGACACATTTATATATTTACGCAATATAACCAAAAAAAGACTATTATGAATAATATTGGTCGTGAAAGCCTACGTGTTAAACTGGCCACTGCTATTCTTTGAGTCTTTCGGTAAAGTCACGTAGATAGGTTCAAATTAAATGTAACAAAAACTTCGACGTTTCCATCACAACACAAGCGATCGTCATCCTGATGACGAGCCCGCAGTCCCAATACAGCGGATTACCGACACCGATTACAACCTCGAAACCACGGGCGCGTTATGACAACTCTCAGAAGAAACAGCCAGCACGGCTTATACCAGAGTCAACCCCTTATCAGTGCCAGTCTTATTACAGAGCGATCCAGACCTTACTGGGCACCCCGTGCCCTTATGCGTCTCAACGTTCATCCTACACAGTCCCATCACAAGGGAGAAACGCACACAAATAGACACAAATTATGTTACTGAACAAACACTCATTTACGTATTAATTTTGATAATTGGCGTCAATAATGCTACTTAGCATGCTAATATTCTGTAATCTTGCATGCTGATGCTGCTCCTTGACATGATGCACACACTCACGTACATGTAAATCCCTTATCAGTGACCTACCTTATTTACAGACCAATTCAGACCTTATTGGTCCTACAAAGTCCCATCACAAGGTTAGAAACACAAAGAAATAGACAAAAAAAACACATTTGTTGTTGCCCGTATTGAAACGGCTGTACGGCGGCGTACGGACCCTTAAACAAAAATCTATTTTCCTGCACAAGAATACGGGTAAACCGTATGGGTTGACAGGTATGAGGCTACGCAACAAAAACCGAAACCCATTGAAGAACCTGGAGCCAAAACCCTCAGAACAAACTTCGACAGATCATTACAAAAAAACATTTCTAACATCTACTACGGGTGTATCAGGAGGGTATATCGGAAAAGCTATACGCCATGGTGGGCAACGAGAAACAGGACATTTCCTTGGAAGAGTTCATCACAAGTGGCGACCAAGATCGGGGACAGTCCCCGAACTCTGCACGAAGAGCGTTTCGGGAAGAATTCACCGCGAACTTGATGGAGATGACGGAAGCCTCGGGCGAGCTAAAACGAAGAACACAGAGAGAGAGGCCACCAGAGCTGTCCGGAAACAACTACGAAAAAGCAACCGCTCTAACAAGACCGGTGCAATGTCGCCGAGATGGAAGACGCTCAACTCAGGGGGTCACAGAATCCAACAAGGCACGGGGATGTTGATGACCCTTGTCCCGAGTTTCTAAAGAACCTGGGACCCCGTGGGACAACTGTGGCTTACAAAATCCTTCTTCGCCGTCGTCACACACACACACACACACCGGCTCCCGGCCGCATTTTGCCGCGAAACGTCGAACAATCAGTGCCGAACAACACGCGGGGAACGACCCCGAAAGCGCATTTGGAGAGCGGTGGAAAGGTGACGCAAACATAATCACGAGCGCCGTTGTGAACAATATACAAGTAGCAAGGCAGATACGTCTTTACACATCCCATCAGCACCGCGGCCGACTCGCAGTGCATAATTTCAGCAGGAGTGCTTCAGCAGGGGCTGCTTCGGCACAAGGATGCACACACTCTGGATCGGCTACGGGACTCAAGCGTCTCGTCGTCATCATCAGCAGAGTCGATCAAGACGGCCACAGTGGGTTGCCATCATTGTTCATCCTTTATTCATCTCTCCGCCCCTACTACTGCCATTCGTGTGCGTTAGGTGGGGAGCGGTGGCGCAGCGGTTAGCGCAACTCCGCTGCGAAACCGGCCAAAATCACCCGGGGTCGATTCACGCTCACGGCCAATAACAGTGGCAGCGAATGATCGGAACCGGTCCCTGAACCTCCCCTAGATCCACTCGGCCTTTAATGAGTAAAGTACCTCGTGTGGTGCGTAAGCATCAGCACTGGGGAGACAAAGGCGGCCGCGCGTGGTGCTGGTCACAACGCCCCGTCACGTGTCGGCCTTAATAGGCGCTCGCTAACAGTCAGCTTGAAGGCTACCACCGTCTTTGGGTTTATCCCTACTGAAGTGTGGTTGGCCTGTGTATAGGTGTTCACACCATACCCCACCTGCTCCCTTCTCGCCTTCGGCAGAGAGCATTGAGGGAGGTCGTGGGGTGGGGGAGGAAACCATCATGGTGTGGCCGGGCAGTTCAACAAACACCCAGCTGCACCTCGTCCACGTGTCCCAGCGGCACCTCGTCCACGTGTCCCAGCTACACCTCGTCCACGCGTCCCAGCTACACCTCGTCCACGCGTCCCAGCTACACCTCGTCCACGCGTCCCAGCGGCACCTCGTCCACGTGTCCCAGCTGCACCTCGTCCACGCGTCCCAGCGGCACCTCGTCCACGCGTCCCAGCTACACCTCGTCCACGCGTCCCAGCTGCACCTCGTCCACGCGTCCCAGCTACACCTCGTCCACGCGTCCCAGCTGCACCTCGTCCACGCGTCCCAGCTACACCTCGTCCACGTGTCCCAGCTACACCTCGTCCACGCGTCTCACCTTCCTGGAGGAGGTGCTTCAGCTCGCCTCTCTGGTTCCCCGAGGTGTTCGGCGCCGCTTCCATGGCGATCGGCTGTCGCTGGGTGGTTGTGGTGGTTGTGGTTGTTGTAGTGGTTGTGGTTGTTGTAGTGGTTGTGGTGGTGGTTGTTGTTGTGGTGGTGGTGGTTGTTGTGGTAGTTGTGGTTGTTGTTGTTAAGACTGCACACTGCTGCTGCTGCTAAGGAGCGATGCGGGTTCAGAGGACGCGGAGCGGAGCCGAAACGTCGCATCCATGCGGAAGTGCGGGGAGGGGGTGACGGGGGGGGTGACGGGGGGGGGTGACGGGGGGGGTGACGGGGGGGGGGGTGACGGGGAGGGGGTGACGGGGAGGGGCCATTGGAGTGAACAATTGCAGTGACCCCCACCCCCGTGTGGAGGGGGTGAGTGGGGAGGGAGGAGGGTGGTGGTGGAGGAGGGGTGGAGGAGAGGTGGGGGGATGGGGGAGGGGTGCAGGAGGGATGGAGGGGTGGGGGTGATGAGGGGTGGGGGTGATGAGGGGAGGTGATGAGGGGTGGGGGTGATGAGGGGTGGGGGTGATGAGGGGTGGGGGTGATGGAGGAGTGGTGCAGGAGGGGTGGGTGATGGATGGAGGAGCTATTCCAGTGGCTGAATGAGGGATGAAGATCGATGCAGGGATGATGCTGTAGTGATGGGGGATGATGGAGGGATGATGGAGGAGGGATGACAAAATTATCTTCAACATAACTGTTTTGTGTCGTGTTATAAAGTGGGGAGGGTTTTATCAGGCCCTTCGCTGCACGTCTAGGCGTTGAGATTAGGTTCAACACAGACCCATGATTCACCAACACTGCTGACTTCTCATCTGTCCCCATGGTGTAAAGTACGGTATCTAGCTCTCATCACCCAGGCCTGTATATTTAAGTGATATTAATAAGGGTGATTGCCCGAAACGTTGCTAATTATATACTTTTCAGTTTAAGGCCACGCACTTATTGACGAATGTGTTGAGTTTTTATTCTGTTGTCCCTGTGCCCCACTGCCAGCGCAAAAACAGCATCACCGCATATCGGGATACCTCGATATACGAAGCAGATACTTTTCTGGAGCTTCGTTCCCATATCGAAGCTTCGTATCTTGAATAACGTGTAACATTGGTACTACGAGGATGCGTTCCCAGCCTTGGAAATTTCCCATTGCATACTATTAACGCGTCACAACTTACCATTCGCGTTGTAAACAAAGAATGCATTTTAACACGCAGACTTTCGCGACAAATATTATCCATAAGAGGTTTGGTCTTTATCCATCTATTGTGGATAAAGACAATTTATGTTGAAAATAATATATTTTATACTGTACAATATTAAAATTAAAATAAAAAAACTGACTTTCGCCACTAAGTGACGGTGACGTCACCACGGCGCATGTGCCAGGCTTGGTGCACTTTGAGGCCACGTGAAGCGATGTTTCATGCTTGCGTGAATGCGTCGTTCGTGTGCGATTCCTTTCGGGACTTTCCTGGCCTAAGGCCGTAACTGGTTGTGAGGGGGCGCCATAGGTGTCCCCGAAAGACCCCTAGCTTCTAACATTCACATATCGAGGTATTACTGCAATCCTATGAATCAGACAACCCAGCGACCAACACTCACATGGCCAAATCGGTTTATCTGCACGGCCTCGGGACTGAGACTACGACAGCGACTAGATTGACACTGATCGTCACCCACACAGATGTATTGCTGTGAAGATCTTAACGCGGCCGTTAAGCTCCCAGTCTCCCAGGTTTCTACTCTATTCTTGTGTACGGCAGGCAATGTGTTCGGTAGCTAAATGCCAATGTCAGAGCTTGCTGGCCACGGCAAGAGGGGTTCAGGAGAGAGTTCGTGTTGTTTCGCTGTTCCTCCTCCATTGAAGGATCTCAGACTACAGTGGGTTTACCACGTGGTCCATAGCTTGGGATGCATGGCCACAATCGCATTGTGGCTTGTCTTTGATGCACTTATATTAGCCGATATGCATCTCTGGGTTTCTGTATATCTATGAGTCGCTTTTTATCTTTATGGGTCTATGTGAGTGCCTGGCTGAAGTACCATCTGTTGAGGAAGTACAGAAGTCAATCTAGAGTCTTAGACCAGGAAAAGCACCAGGCAGAGATGATCTCCCAAGCGAAATGCTGAAGGAGGGTGGTGTTTGTGCGCAAACTGTCCTATATGACATAATAACAGTCTGGACCACTGGAAGGGTCCCGCAAGATTGTAAAGATGCCCTGGTGGTCCCCGGCTTTAAGAAGAGGGACCACACAGTGTCGGGAAAGGTTGTGGCAAGGATTATTCAACATTGTCTCGCCAGGCACGCTGAGGAGAGGCTTGCGGAGCCAAAATGTGGTTTCAGGCCAGGGCGGGCCTGCACAAATGCCATATTTTCTGTCCATCTGCTGCAGCAGAGGTCTAGGGAATTCCAACAGGACCTACACCTCTGCTTCATTGACCTGGTCAAGGCCTATGATACCATCAGTAGGCCTAGGCTCTGGGTTGTTCTTCATGCTTTCGCAGACCCTGACTCTCTCCTCACAATCATTAAGGACCTTCATGATGGTGGGCAGGTCCGTGTAAAACTACGTGGCCGGGAGTCGGAGCCATTTCCTGTTCACCTTGGGGTGCGACAAGGATGCTCTCTGGCTCCCACATTATTTTTATTTCGACCACCGAGTTTGTGAAACCTTTGATGGCTGTACCGGAGGAATTTAAACCTGTTACATATACAATGGGAGGCTGATCGATGCCCGGGTGTGGTCAAGGGATGGCTCTCTATTGCTCAACCACGTTATGTGTGCCGATGATCTGGTGATTGCTGCTCACTCAGAGGAGAAGTTGGAGGCGCTGCTGCTGAACCTGGAGCATGTCACTAAGAGATGGGATCTTACTGTCAGCCCCACAAAAATTAACCTGCCTGGGTATGTTGTGCCATCAAACACTCCACTACCACAATTCCCAATTGGTGATGGGGAAGTTGTGGAGAGATTGGAGAGTTTTCCATACCTGGGCAGTGTGCTCATGACCGGCTCCGGTTTGACAGCGGAGGTCTCACTCCGAATCAACCGAGCAGCATTATCTTTTCATCGGCTGTGTAACGCTGTGTGGAAGCTACCAGGTCTGTCGCTCCACACGAAGCTTCAGGTCTTCTAGGCCACGGTCATTCCCTCCCTTCTCAATGCTTGCAAAACGTAAACCCCCCCTTATGGAACATCTTCGCCGGTTAGAAACATTTAAGCTTGCCTGCCTACGATCCATCCTGGGTTTAACCAGGCTGGATTGTGTGAGGAGCTCACAAATCCTTGAAAGATCTGGACAAAGTCCCATCGGTGAGCTCCTCGGCAGGCAAGGCTGCGTTGGCTATGTCATGTTGCCCGCATACCCAGCCACCGCATGACTATACAGATTTTATTCGGCCGGATAGAGGGGGATAAACGAATGCGGCATGGGCTAGAGAAGAAATTGAGTGATGTGGTACAGGAGGATGTGGAGCTGAGTGGATTTGCCAATGACTGGTACCAGCAGTTTCAAGATCGGCCTCTGTGGAGGAGGTTCGTGAAGGACGCTACTGGGCAGTTGGAGGCAGTCGCCCCCCAACAACAATGAAGGGCAGAAGAGTGACGCTCATAACAACGAGCGGAGGGCCGGGTGGCTAAAGCACAGCAGGTTGGCACAGTAGGGGACACAGGTGGTGCATCAGCCAGTCGTCTCTGTCAGACAACCCATGGCACCTGGGTTTGTCCCTTGACCTCCTGCCAGTGGGCGTTCGACACTTCATGTGGCCTTCACGTGCACATAGCCTGGCACAAGGACCGTGGTGATGTCAACACTTAGTGGTGAATGGCGGTTGTTGTTGTTGTATATCCATGCATCTCTATGTATATCTATGGGTCTCTGTATATCCATGCGTCTTAATGTATCTCTATGTATATCTATGGGTCTGTATATCCATGCGTCTCTATGTATCTCGATGGGTCTCTGTATCACCCTGTGTGTCTATATATGCATTAGTCTCTTTGTATCTCTGTACAGTATATCTATGAGTCTCTATGTATCTCTATGGGTATCTGTATATTTACGAGCCTCTCTATATATCTCTATATGGATAACTGTTAATCTGTAGTGACACAGCGCCGACTGCTGTCCAGCAGCGGAAACTGTGGTGGACAGCGCACACTCTGCCGTCCAGCATATGAATCATTTTGCGGGACCCCGGGGTCCCGCAAAAATCAGGTCAACAATAATTATTATTTCTCAGTCCGCCCACTCGTGATCCCAACAGCAACGCGCCGCCCGCCCAGACTCGCGCCAACAAGCGCCAGCAGCAGCAGGCGGCGATCACCACGATGGGCGCCACCCCACCGGCCAAACGCAAGCCCCGGGGGGCGTCCGCCGCAGTCGCGCGCGGCGACGACGCCCTCCGGTCAGCCGTCGATCCTCAGCTTCTTTGCCAAGGTGAGCCCCGCCCCCCCCAGGCAGTGAATTTAACGTGTTTGTGTAATTTTTAAACTTTTATGGAACTTAGTGCCCCGAGTAGCTCTCGACAAGGCCAATCGATCGACGCTAGTTTTGTTGTCGGTAAGGCAACAAGACTTGTGTCGCTACACGGTTTTTCCCACCCCGGGGCAGTGATGGGACCCCGGGGTCCCGCCAATTGCTTCATATACACTGTCTATGTGTGTGCCGGCAGGGCGGAGGAACTGGGGCAAGGGACACGGAAGACCTCATCGGGAGGCCCCTGGGACCCTCTGGTGGGTTCTAGAAGGGAGGCGCGGCCAGGGCGGAGCCAGGCCGCGTCGAGTAGAATAAAAGCAGCGGAGAGCGAGAGCTCAGGGCTGCCGGTTCTGGCAGTGGACTCGTCTCGTCGTCGCCTTCATCTTCGCCGCCTTCGCCGCTGCCGCTGTTGGCTGTCTCGGTCGACACCGTCAGTGTAACACGCTTAGGGTCGTGTCTAGGCTAGGCTAGACGACTAAGGAGTGCATGAGGGCGAACCTGTTGAAGTTGGAAGCCGTGTGTAGATCCGAATTAAGAAGGTGCCTCCTGCCACTGCCTCGTCTCCGACTTGTGCTACACTACACATACATGGGTCTCTATGAGTCTCTATGTATCTCTATGGGTCTCTGTATATCTATGAGTCTCTATGTATCTCTATGGGTCTCTGTATATCTATGAGCCTCAATGTATCTCTATGGGTCTCTGTATATCTGTGAGTCTCTATGTATCCCTATGGGTCTCTGTATATCTATGAATCTCTATGTATCTCTATGGGTCT